CCGTGATGAACTAAATATGTTAAGATGTGGCTAGAAAGGTACTTTTTAACTTGATAATCTTAAAATGACGTATTATTTAGTCATTAAAATTTGTCTTTTCAGGTACTAGGAAATGCAAAAGGTGCTGTAGCAGTGGTTATTTCAATATTAATATTTAGGAATCCCGTTTCTGTTACTGGAATGCTTGGGTATACTCTGACAGTCATTGGCGTTATACTCTATAGCGAATCCAAGAAGCGAAGTAAACGAGAGAACAATCTCTAAAAGCATCAACAGTTGACATTCTTCTATACTGTGACATGAATGTGAGGTGCAACCTTCCCGTAGAAAGTACGGATCATGTGCTTTCGTCTACGGATTTTGCCCTCCAATTATACTTTTTTTCGAAGCCCAGTAAGAGGCTTCAATCTGTTCGCCTGCAACCACCACCAGATTAGCCTTGGAAGTTTTCTTAATAAGTCAAGTCTTAGTTTGGCCTAGCATGAGTATGGGGTTATGGAGAAAAAAGAACCTTTTTTGTCCCTTGTATTCTTTCAGGAAAGGATTGTAGAATCCAGTCCACATAGTATTTTATTCAAATTTTTTTTTTTTTAATATATTGATTAATCAATGAAAGACTCTTGCACCAATTTGTGGGAATCCATGACTAGTGGATTGATTGAAGCTCGAAGCACACTGTTCTTGCGAAATGCAGACTAATACTCATTAGACTTGGAGCATGTTTGGTTAGCGCAAAAGCCTACTTATAAGCCTAAGATCAGATTTGGGGTGGCTTACTTCATGCTCATAAACACACAGAAAAAGCATCCACATCTCATGCTTATAAAAGTCACCTCCAAACATGCTCTTGGTTGAAGTTGAAACGAGCAAAGGTATGTGATAGTAAATGATGCGGATCAATTAAAACTTAAAAAGAGAAAATTCTAAACCAATTAAAAAAGAGAGGGAATAAGAAGTTTGGGTGTATTTTTCAATTCAGTTGTCAGAATTTTGCTTCTATTTGACAGCATTACTTGATTCTGCACATTTTTGGAGGAAAATTTCGTTGTTTAGGGGTTGGTTTTAACATTTTTTTAAAAGTTAATTTAAAGGTATTTTCATTATTTCAATATATTTTTTTAATTTTTATTTGAATTTATCTACAAAATTAAGATTTTGTTTTAAATCTTTAAATATATGTTGAGGGTTTGTAAATTAGACTTTTATAATAATTCAATTTTTCTTGTTCATTGGTGATTCCAATGTTTTTCACTTTTGTTTGAACGAAATTTGAGCAACACCTGTACTCAAACAAAATTTGAGCAACACCTGTACGTGGGTTACAAACAATATCCTTTTATTATTATTCACGTTTTTATCCTACATCAATATAGTCCTTCAAAACAATCTTTTATTTTATTATTATTTACTTACTAAAACATTATGAATTATTATGAATTGAGAAAAAAAGTTATTTCTACTTTCAGGCACTTCTTTTAACTATGCATTAATAATAATCCATTACAAATTAGATAAAAATATCCCATAACATAATCAATCTTCAAATATCATAGTGTGGAAATGTGAACATCTTATAACAAAATCAAATGACAAAGTATACTTAGCGAATAACATAAACATAACACAGTAAATGATCGAGCATCTCAAGTTTTACTTGCATAGATCAAAGATTTGTAAAACAAAAGAAAAACCAAAAAAATCACAAGCCCACGTAGAGATCGATAACAAGGAAAGAAACCGAGTTCAAGAATCTGGAACGGTGTCTGTTGGGCTCTTCATGGATGCAGACTAGATTAAATGGTTATAGCTGCCTTTTTCTTTGAGCAGCTAGGAAAAATGCGGTTTACAGTACAAAATGCCGTCTAGGGCTGCATAGTTCAATGGAGAATGGAGATAGAGGGCATCCACCATGCGAACACTTAAAAAACAAGATTTGTGATAGCTTTGGTTTTCCACTATCACTTGCAGAATATTTACATCCCGTTTGAGCCATATTATTGTAAAAATAAGAATGAAAAATATAGCTGTTATGAACCCTACACAAGAAATAAAAAGTCAAATATGATGACTTGATGTGATGGATAACGGTCATATTTTTCATTTTAATGAGGAAATAATGGGGTTCAAACAGGGCTACATACAAGTTTTTCAAGTAGAAATGTTGAGGAAATCTGTAGCAAAGTAACTAAGCTACCCGATCTTGCAAGTAAATACATGCTATCCAGTCAACCATAACAATTGAAAGTAAATCAAATATTGATGAAAAACTAAAGCAGTAACTAAATCCCACAGTAGCGACGAAATAACAGAAATTCTTTAAAACTTAGCTACACTAGTAAAATGACCCTGTGCACGTTTAGTACTCAATACAAGGTGAAGAGTTTAATGAACAAAATTTTAAATTCTTTTTCTTCTTTAATATTGTTGAGTACTAAACAATCCTCCATGCCAAATATATTGCCAACGTCTAATCAGTCCAATCAACCTATCACTACACATCACGTTGGCAGCTAGGTAGCCAATAATAAATGCACATTCTGAATACAAAATCATGCGACATTTTTTATGAGATCGATATGCATGTGTACTTTGATAGGAAAGGTCAAACTCACTCATCAGTCAACTTCCACCATGCATCAAGATACAAGTAAATTGTCCATAATAAACAACCACATGCACTCGAAGTCTCGAAGTCATGTTATGGCAAATTATCCTAGAAGTAGCACACGACGAATTTACCAAGACAGCAGCACCCTGTATGCTACCCCTCCAACATGTTCATAGATGCACCATGCACGTGTTTATTGCTGCAGGAATGGCTTGTTCTACACATAAAGGAGTAAACATACATTTTCTGGCTCACCATAATGCTTTTATCCTTTCACACTATATACATCTGTAGAACTCACTTCAAATAGAAATAATCATAGTATTGAGGATCTTTATAGAGAGGTCCATAGTAATCCATTTATCTTCAAAGTGGAAATGAATTGCCAACCGTATTCAGACACGGACCAAGTCTATGTTAGGGAATTTCTTCGGCCCTTCTTAACTGATATTCTTTTTTAACTGTCAGTAATTAAGCCCTTTCAGAGAAACAGAAGAAGATCAAACAGCACAGACAGATTGTCTGCAAACTACTACTATATACCCAACCAAATTGCAACTAGGGACCAAATTAAAACACGAGTCCGAGAAACAAAAAATCTGGACTATACAATCTAGCCAATTAAGAGATCGCATAAATTTTCAAATAAAGCTGTATCAAGATGCCAATTAAAGAAATTTGTTGTACCTTCTCAAGAGGGTAAGCTGTTTTATCACAAGTAGCGCATTTATCGTGTTCCTGGGAACATGCCGGCAGCTTTGCTTGGTGATCTTGTCTGGACATTATAGAAAAGATTCAGATTCAGATTCAGATTCAGAGGTAAAAAGAGATAGCCATTTCACAAATCAAGCAAAATCTTTTCTTTACTAATTACAGATATACATAGTTGGGGAAACTATACCATCTCTGCAGTTAACTTCTCAGCGGACCTTGCAGCTGTGGACAATGAAATGAATTGTTAAAAAGTAATTAAAAGAGAATATCTAACTAATTTTTTAGGGCAAAAAGAGCCAGGTCACACCAGAGAAGGCATACGTGTCTGAAAATTCTTGCTGAACCTGCCTGTCTCCTTGAAGAGCTGCTCAAAGTGAGGCTTGCAGTACAGAACACCTTCCATCGACGAGTAATTGCTCAGCTGAAAAGTATTTACAAATTCCCCGTGAACAGCAAGAGACATCACTGGCACTACATTAAAATATTCATCATCTTTTTCATGGAAATTGTAGTGACAGAAAATTTCGTTAGTGCTAGATCAATTCAATCAGGCACTTGCAATCTATTTTCATTCTTCAAATCTTTTGACTACACAAAACACCAATTTGTGTTACGGATTTTCAGTTAATGGGGTAGCATGGGATCTGTAATGAGGGAGAAAAATCCCATCTGATTGAGTAGGCTAGCAATAAATTTCTAACCTTCAAACCAAGTTTACTGGTGCAAAATTTGGACCTTTAAGCTGCAGATATTGTTCCCACATTATGCAAGTCTGATTTCTTAAATTAGATACATTGTTATTAACTATATTTTACTAGTGTTCACGAGCTATTTACTGTCAGAGACTTTTCCAGTAAACCAAAAACAAACAAAAAGAAGAAGAAACTTCAATAAACCTATTAATAAATCTACCAACACATACACCATCAGCCAAAAAAGTTGCAATTTTTTTTGCAAAAATGAAGATTTTGTTCATAAATCTATAATAATGAAATGCAAATGGAATCATTCTGAAAAATAGCAGCACCCGTAGCAGGAAAAAAAAAAGTTAGATACCTTGAGGGTTCCTTTGCAGTGAGAGCATTTGAAGCAAGATTTGTTATAATCCACTCCATCAGCAGACAACAGCTCCACTGGATAAACTGTCTTTAAGTCTTTTCACAGGCCTTGCATTTCTGTTGTGTCCCAATGAAAGACACTGCTCCACAAACTCTACAGATCGGATCTTTAACACAACAATATTCCTATCTTCTTGATGGGTTTATGCTCAAATCTGAAATACACACACAACCATACACAAAATGACTAGTCATTATAGTGCCCTGCCTGTATGTAAAAAAATGTGGGATGAGGGTGACCCAAATTGACCCAGTAAATTGAAGAGTAATAGACAAGAAATTATTGGTCTTGTTGGGATTTTTTATACCCAATAATTCCGGGTGACGATGTTAAGCCGATGTTGGATAAATTAATTATCGACACTCAAGATTGAGGATCCGACCCTAAGACTATTTGGATCATTGGAAGCAATCTAATTAATTACTGTTGCTCATGGCCCAACTTTCACGCTTATTGGACAGCTTATATACGTTGGCCCACTTAACCTCTTTGTATTGGACTTGGCCCATATATTTGACCTAACCTAAACTATATAAGCTAGCCTCCTTTGTCAGTGTAACTCACGCGTGTTTTGTCTTGCTTTGGAAGAAAACTCTTAGCCTCTTTGCTTCGTGCTCTCTAGGCCGATTTTTTTCTTGTTTCTTCATGGCCTTAGTGGCTGAAAACACCGTCTCTTTTGTGTCCATAGTGGGTACAAGGTAAAGCAATCGGAGTGTGGAAGAAAGTTTGAAGTTTGGGTCAGTTTGGTTGGGTGTTGTGAAGGTTGAGATTGGTATTCTGAATCCGGAAAGTCCACCAATTGAAGGTCGATTATTCAATAGGTCTCAGCACAAATGGAAAATGACCGGATGAACAAATTATAGCGAGAATTTATACCAAAGTAGTTGACTGAAAACATCTGATCAAAGACTAGCATACCTTGAAAAAAGAAAGAAACTCGAGAATTCTTGATCTTTTGAGCTTCTTGGATATGTCAAATCTTGAACAAAGACGTCCGAGGAGCACAGATAAAAACTGGGGCGCATCTGTATAATGTGTGTGTATTATGTATATCTATAGATGCAGCGAAGCGGATGATGATTAATAATAATTGATGGTGATGGTGATGGTCATCTAAAATATATGGTTTTACCATTTTTAATTTAGTTGGCTACAATTTATAGAAGTAAAATACAGAGTACGCATAATATTTCTGCAAGTTTCATTTGATTTTCAAGAATCCTTCCTAAACTTGAGTAATCGATCTTTTACTTTATAATCAGGTTACGAAGCTCATTCATAGTATTGGTATGTATTCCGAAGTATTGTCATGGAGATATATCTACATATAAATAATTAACTGAAATTAAGTAGTCTTCTCATAATTACATCAAATAAACCATTTTTTTTTCCATTCATTACCATGACTAATTTTATTAAGTTGCCAACATTATAAAAGATAAAAGAATTCAATCCATTATTATCTTTAAGAAAAGAGAAGTATCAGGGCTGGTATTTGGTCGAGGGTGGATGAGCTCAGTTGGAAAAGATGACATTTTTCTATATTTTTTAAACGTGTTCTTGTTTGGGGTAGAAGAAACTAAAAAATCTTTGGAACGGGGCTTTGTGAGAGCATATGCTAGCCAATACTTTGTAGAAATGTAAGAGACAGTAAGAACACCTTTGTTCACTTGGTCATGACTCATGAACAAAGTGAAAATATAGTGCAATGTGCTTCATCGTTGACAAAATACAGCGCTGATATTTGTCACATATCAGTACATGTTCAGTCGACCTGTTACAACTACACTAGGGGGGTTGGTTCATTAGCACCAATCCATGGAACTTCCAAGCATTACCAGACTACAACACATCAAAATTCTATACAAATGAGAAGTAGAATGACAAGGGCACGGCGCAATTGCTTTCCTATCACCTAAGAAAGCAAAAACTCATTACACTAAACTCAGAATAGAAAGTGTCTCAAGCTGGTAAGGAATTTATTTACATGATGCCTAAACACGTTTATTCGTCCATTGTATCCTTGGGGATAAAGGGTACAACTGTAGATGGAAAGTCTGTTCTCTGACCAGCAAGTGAATGATATGCTAGAATTTGGGCTTTATTCTCGATGAATGCATCTTCTCCATTTTCATTAGGAACTGCAACTCGTGATGCTGGAATTAACTCGATAATCCATTTTGGACGCTTCTTGTGTACTTTATCCCAATCAGCCCCAGATTCATTGTATCCTTGTGCCCACAAACTCCTCAATGAAGGTAGTCTTAGTATGGCATCTCCTAGTGCACCTTCACTGAAAAGGCATCCCCTCAGTTCTAGCTTTTGGAGGCTAGGCAAGTTTTTGGAAAATTCCAAAATCCCATTATCAGATTCTCCAACAAATCCCAAAAGCATCCATTTCACTTTTGGACTATATTTTCCAATATAACTGAGCCCCACATCTGTTAGTGCACCAGGAAGAAGATACAAAGTAAGGCCAGTAAGTTTATTACAACCCATCAACAAAGATCGAACTCCATTATCAAGCGGAAAATTTGCTCTCGTCTCTTGTTTTTCAATTAAGACTAATCGGAAGCTATAGAGCTTTTTCAAGTGCGTGCCTACACATTCTAGGGATGCATTTGTGATTTCAGACACAGGAATAGCTAAGAATTCCAATTCCAGGCATCCCTGTGACAAAGAAATTAATCCTCTCTGGGTAATCACGCCTTCAACATCTTCCATGTCATCGCCACGCTCAATCCTGAGTCTTTTCAATTTTTTACAAATCTGAGCAACAACTGCCAATCCTCTATCCCCAATCACGTCCCTTGACTGTTCACAAAGACAAAATCATGTTTAATTACTTAACTTCAAAATTTTATTCATGAACATAGAAGATATTACATAGCATACGACATCTAAACGGTCCTATAGTATTCATAAGAAAAATAAATGTGATATTCCTTATTCTTCTAATTTAATAGTAACCTCAGGAGCATTTTGCTAATTTTTTTCATAAGAAAAATAAATAGCCTTGTTAATTTATAGTGTGAGACATTAACACTTCTCAAACTTTCAAGGATCAGTCACAGACACTCCACATGGCGTATTTTATTTTTTAATATTTTAATTAAAAAAAAAAAAACACTTAAGAAACACTTGGCGAACTCATCTTGGAGACGTGTGACATGATGTCCTATATTATTCATATTCTTTACCGTTTTCACACGCAAGAAACATGTCAACGATCGAGCTGCTATGTCTCTACTCTGCCGAAGAAGATATTACATTCAACAATCCAACGAAAACCAAGAAACATTAAAATTCAGACGAGAAATTAGGACATAGCACGTAGCACCCTCCATCCACATAAAGGAAATGCATATGCATGATTAACAAAATAGGAGAAACACAAAAGATTTACCTGAAGCATTTCCAAGTTAGGACACCTTCCCAGTAAGAGACAGTGACCTTCTGTATCAAGCAGAGCAAAAAGCAGATCCAATTTTTTAAGTCGAGCAGCAAAAGGAAAGACAATTGGAATTTCAGGTCTTGCCAAGTACGTAAGACCCAAGCAGCACAATCTTGGGGGAAATGGTACCGCCGAGTACCTTTCTAATCGCTCATTTTGATCGCCTTCACCAGCTTCGGGTGGTTTGCTGAAAGAGCCCCCACAAAACTCTTCTAATGCAGCTGCATTGCGGAAGAAACCAACGAGGTCAGCAATATCAAAATCAGTAATTTTCACCATGACCAGAGATGCGCAGTTTTTGGCTATCAGTTCAAGGTCTCCAGAATTGATTTGAACAAGATCTGTCATGTAGAAGTTCAAATTTTCAAGAACTGTATTTCTCAGAGCAAGCTCATGTAGCCATTCCCCGTCATTCTCAATTATTGAGCTCTCTTCCATATCCAAGCTCCTCAAACTCCTGCAAAGAAGTAAAGATAATTTTTGAAAAAATGGAACTAATGACATCAACATGTCAATTAAATAAATTTTCAAAAGGGCCTGTAGATTTAAGAGAAATTCACTTTATACATACGATTTTGAGGAAAGATGAAAGACATAATCTAATCCATCTATATGTGCTGCATTATCACTGTACTCATGCCAATAACCCCTATTTTCAAAACCAATACATACCCATAGACATGTATTTGGCCACCTATTCGTGTTATTTCTTCACCTGGTTATAATTCTATGATAATTTATTATTTAGAGATTATAGTCTAACTTTCAGAAGCACGGCACATATAATGAAGTTTGGTTAAAGAAGGGAAGGGGAAAAAAGTATTGTTCAAATCATCTTGCAGCTTAAAAAAATCAAATGCAGCAACTGATACAAGTAATGAGTTAGAATAAGAAAAGAAAGAGAACAAATAATACTAAAAGAAATTTGTTGATTTTAATTTTAATTCAGCAGAAGTACAGGAAACTTGCATTAACCAAGTATTTTCTATCGATATTTGACAAAGTACGTTAACTTTAGGGAAGGAGAATAGAAGGGATTAATCTTTAGCAGATAAAGATAGATCAGAAAGGGATTAATCATTTTCATTGAGGCATCATCATCAAAAACTTGTTTTGATAATTCTGCCATCATTCCGAGTTGGATGCTTTCTTGTTTTTTT